TCATAATGGAGCTGCCAACCCGAAACATTTCTGTTATCCACTGTGTCGCTGTGATATCTTTTGTCTGATAAAGATTTGTCAAAGAGGATCATTTTGGGTCATGGTCAATGAGGTCACTGTTTATGTGAAGTATGTTATTCTTCAGAGATTCCTAAAGGGACACTTTGGAAGCTCTGCAGCAGAGAACCCTGGCCATGGTTCATGGGTGCCTGTGAGGACAGATACTGCAGTGTGGTTGCCTGCCCTTCTTGAGAAGCATCAATGTAATCTGATTAAGGAAATTTCCTAGATGAGTCAAGTGGCTTTGGTAAATGTGACCACCTCTCCGGATCATCAAGCTGGAGCAAGCACTCTGACACATAGCCATGGCACATCTGTCCACTGCTGTGGCGAGGAGAGCCAAATGTAGGAACCTCAATTTGAACTGCTGCTCCCACATCAGAAAAGCCCAGGGTTTCTGAAATGGAAGTGCCTGGGTTTGGATAGTTAGCTGGGGTTTTGGAGGAAGAGAGGGGAGATTTGACAATCATAGAATCATAGAATGTTTTGTGTTGGAAGGGACCTTAAAACTCATCCAGTTCCAACCCCCTGCTACAGGCAGGGATATCTTCCACTATCCCATCTGCTCTTCGATATCAGCAGGACAGTCTAACTGAAGTATGATTTCAGTAGTGGTTGAATATGGAGCCTAAAGGCTTAGAAGGCTCCCATAAAGGACGTAACTTTATCGTGTCCTTGTGATTTTGTGCTTTGATTCAACTAACTAATGATTTATTATGACCTGGAGGGTAATAAAATATACTGTGCTGAAGCTTTTATTGTTTCATTTTGGTATGCATTAAATTTTGGTACTATCTTTTACTGGTGTTTCTAACTTCCCCCTTCTGTGTAAGCTTAGATTAATAACCCACACATGAAAACAGGAAGGCAGCAGGCAGGTTGTGTGCATGTTCTGCACTGGTTGTGCTGCTCTAGACAATTTCTCTGGTTAAACCACTTGTCACAATGGGCTTTACTACATCCCATATCATGTTCTCACATAATGAAAAGATATCTAGTAATTTCTCAGAAAAGAAATACAGGAACCATGGAGAAGCTGTATTTTCTTCACCTCCATGCTTGAAAACATTGCTGCTGTGATTTATGTTGGATCCGGCCAATGTGGCTCAGGCAACTCCCGAAAGAGTATTTTAGGTAAGTTGTAATTGTCACATCGAGATCTCCCAGGACAAAACCAGCTTGTCTTTTGCAGCCTCTAACATCTCCATCAGCAGTGGGTAAATCAGACTGATTTCCAGCCTGGATTCACATGCTCCCTGTCTTCTCATATCACAGCGACACTTTACATTTACCTGTGAGGCTGGAATATGATCTAGGCTGCAGCTGGGGACTTGCAAACCCTGTGGTAGCTGTAGTATTGCTAAAATACTCTACCATGCTCCTGTTTCTCCCACTATCAGATGGATGTAATTGTTCCTTCCCAGGTTCTCACCCTGAAAGACAGTTTTTCTGGAAAGACCCAGTGAGTCCATGCAGAGGTGTTAAGAGTCCCCAGATTTCCAACTCCTAGTTCTTTTACTTTGATGGCTAAAGAGCCCAGTGAGCACCCAAGATAGCAGCCAGATTTCAGGTCCAATTACTCCTGTAGATTTGCCTTCTATATCATAGAATTACAGAATAGTTAGGGTTGGAAAGGACCTTAAGATCATCCAGTTCCAACCCCCCTGCCATGGGCAGGGACACCTCACACTAAACCATGTCACCCAAGGCCTCGTCCAACCTGGCCTTGAACACTGCCAGGGATGGAGCATTCACAACCTCCCTGGGCAACCCATTCCAGTGCCTCACCACCCTAACAGGAAAGAATTTCCTCCTTACATCCAATCTAAACTTCCCCTGTTTAGGTTTGAACCCATTACCCCTTGTCCTGTCACTACAGTCCCTAATGAAGAGTCCATCCCCAGCATCCCTATAGGCCCCCTTCAGATACTGGAAGGCTGCTATGAGGTCTCCTCGCAGCCTTCTCCAGGCTGAACAGCCCCAACTTTCTCAGCCTGTCTTCATACAGGAGGTGCTCCAGTCCCCTGATCATCCTCATGGCCTCCTCTGGACTTGTTCCAACAGTTCCATGTCCTTTTTATGTTGAGGACACCAGAACTGCACACAATACTCCAGGTGAGGTCTCACGAGAGCAGAGTAAAGGGGTAGGATCACCTCCTTTGACCTGCTGGTCCTGTTTTACTACCCCCTTGCTTTTCTAAATGAACAAAAATAGAGAGGAAGACAGTAATTATTACCATTATAAACCTGTATTTTTACTTATTTGTAATGCAGGACCAAGAGTCTCGCTGTTGATGGAGCAGCACAGCAAACGCCAGTCCCTCCACAAGCTCTTCAGAATGATGCGTTTCTTTTGTTTCAGGTTTTTGAGGTAGGATTAAATCTTTTCTATCCTGTGCCTCTGCATTACAGAGTATAAAGAGGAAGACAATATTTTTTTGAGCTGCTCCTGCTGGGGAATTTTTGCCTGCTCTAAAATCACCAGCTCAAAGGGATGCAGGCGTTTGGGCAGTCAGCGTGACATTGACCCCGAGGTAGAAAACAACTCTGTCTCAAGCACTGCCCTTATCTACTCTTCTGTTAGCTGGTTATCTGGAGACTGCACCTTGCCACCTCAGGTGTATTGTCATCAATCATTTGCTATTTTCTTTTGCGTACTGGTTCCTCTCTGCCCTTCCTTTGTTAATAACCCAGTTTGCCTATATCCATAAAAATATCTGATTGTGATACCATTTATCCAAAGCACCATACATCCATCATGTACTTATGAGCGTGATAAACAAGGTCTCCTGGGAAATATGCCGCAAGAAATATATAGGATAAATAACTATATCAAATGTATGTCAGTGTGCAAGAGAGGAAAATCCATTCATTAAAACCAGGGTGGAACTGCAGTGTTTTATTGTACCCTCCAAGCTTTTAGTTTAAGTAAGAAATGCACGTTTTTGCTGCTTATCTCATCTAGCACAACTCTCATGCTGGCCACTTCAGCATGAGATATATTAGCTGCTTTGACTGGCATTGTAAATGTGTAATTGCTCATAATCTGTTTTTCTTTCCCCTCAGACCTTACAGGCAGCTTCTCCCTTTCTTTTGGCTTCAGCTTCACTGCTCCCGAGTTTCAGCCCTGTGGATGCCTGAGCCTGGATGCAGCAGGGGACTGGAGTGGGAGGACAGGGGCTGCATCCAAGCTGCCTTTGGCATTTGAAGGAGACCCTTGGGTTTGTATTTCATTGCCTGGGCAGCAAGGTGAACAGGGAGGATGCACAACTGCAGGTAAATCAGAGGTTATTTGCTCTTATTTTTATATGCTTCATGGTGGTATTTCCCATTTCTTTATCACTTGGATTTATTCTTTTTCTGTGGTTCTGCAGCCTGTGATCTGCCCTTCTAGAAATGCACTAAAAGCAGAGGATGCAGGCTGCCTTCCTGCAGGCTCCATCCTTCCCCAGCCTCCAAGGCATCAGATCTTCCTGTTCATTAATTTTTTTCCCTCTAGTCCCAAAAGGAGCATACTCAGCTTTCTAGCTGAGGTGACTTTATACTCATTTACTTTCAGTCATTGCCCTGAGTCCTAAGCAGTCAGTGTAAAGGTAAGAATTGCCTAAGAGCCAAACTGGTCATTGGTGCAAGAGCACTGTGTCATGTTTCTATATAACCTGCCAGCCCAACGCCAAACAGTGCTGATAAAACCACTGATGGGAAAACTTTTGATCCTTCATTTCACATTTGGGATGTCTAAATCATACCACTATATGAGTGCTTTGTGCTGCTGCATTTTCCCAACATAGAAGGCATCAGATTCAAGCCCTTGGGAGCAAATTCATCTCCGGATGACTTATCACCTTTACCTGGAAAAGCAAAGTTGACAAAAAGGGCACAGCTTTGCCACTCATCATAGGGATTTTTCACAGAACAATTCCATCTCAGTGTTCAAGGCAACCTGGTTTTGTTGTCTTCTTAAACAAAACCAGCCCATAGTTTTGTTTTCAAGCAAAAGTGGTGAAAAAGTCATCCTTTGGCAAACATGCACACTAAAGAAAATACGGGACCAGATCTTCAGGTAGCATATATCAGCTCTGTTGAAGGGGCAACACTGATTTACATCAGCTAAGTGTCAGACTTTAAATCACCACAGACACGCTGTTGAAAAACAAGCATTTCCAAGAAGCAGAGCTCTAGCGGAGTAATTCCTTTCACTAAACCATGATTCCTTCCTACTCCCTCTTCCCATTCACATGTATATAGAAGTGCCCCTTTGTGCTTTGAGGTTTTGTTGCTGTTGTTGTTTTTCACAATGCCTAATTCCTTCTCGGGGCTTTTTCCCCCTGCTTTCCTTGTAATGAAAAGCACACTAAAATGAAGTGCCATTCGCCTTCCATCCACCCCAGGTTTTTGCTGCAGTTCATTAATAAAAGGGAACTGTGGGCTCTCACTGCAGTCTCTGGACACAGTTCAATACTGTGTGTATTCTTGTGCTGAGATTTACATCTTATGCTCAAAAAAGCCCCTTAAATCAAGCACCCTGTTAGCATCTTCTCCTTCTCTGGGTGCCCGGGAGATAAAATGCCTGTGTCCTAATAGTCAATTCATCACTGATTTTAAAGAGGACTAGCCTTCACTTCTGTGTGAGCATCCTCTGCCAAATGATTGTGTTTAAGCCTCTCTTTTTGATCTGTTTAAGATTCTTCATCAGCTTGGGTTCACATTTTGCAGTGATGCTCGGCGTCTTTAGGCTAAATCCTCCTCCCGTGCAGATCAGCATATGGCTTTGCTGCAAACGCAGCCCTGGCCAATATGCTGGGCTTAAAAATGTGACAATGTCAACTTACAAAAGTTTCTTGGCACATATGTCAATACCAACTGCATGGAAATGCAAGGATCATGAGCTTTTAATGTGTTTTCCAAAGACAAATATAAATATTCCTGCAAGTCAAGCATACTTATGCAAACACTTCCAGTAAATTTATTTCATGACAGGGTCACACAGCAGCAAAACCCCCTGTGTGGGTTCTCCACCATCTCCTGTATTGCAGCCACTGTGAACTGATGGGGCTCCCATCACCTTTTGTGGTGTGGGGGCATCTGCATTCAGGCAGCTGGAGCAATAGGTCTGGTTTTACACACTGAATCCATCCTGTCTCCATACATATAAGAATGCAATGATGGTCAATTCTTTTTCCCCAGGGTAAATCCATTGTGGGATCATGCCTGGAGTGCTTCTAGCCCTGCACAGACTCCAAACTGGTCTCGGCCTGTGTAGAGCAATGTGGTTTTCAGCAGGCTTTGCTCTGCAGGTTGCTCCCCATGCAGGGCTCCCCACCGTGCTGCGGGGCCGGGTTGTTGCAGTGCCGCCTGCGCTGCGCTGTGCCTGACTGACAGGGACTCCAGGCTGACCAGCAGCTCCAGCGCCCATCCATCTTGCTGCCTGTAAACACATCAAAAAAGGGGGAAATCCCAAGTATTCAAGTCTGAAGTGCAGTGATGTACTTTGGGTGGGAACAGGGGAGGAGGGGTGAGCTGATTGCCACTGGCAGTTTGTGATTTGAGCAGGATTTCCTTATGCGTATCACCCGTGCCCAGCATATGGATGGCTGTTGAGATCAAGGCACTTTGAAGCCAGGGAAGAGGAAGCAGCATCACGTTCTTCAGACACCAATGTCTGTTTCTTCGTTTCTGCTTATCTGAAATGTTGTGGCTTGGTTTTCCTTTCCCAAAGGGCAGCTGAGAGCTGTATGTGCACTTTCTCACCCCTGATCAAGGCAGAGGGACAAAAGTCTCCTAACGCCATGGAATCACAGAATGCTTTGGGTTGGAAGGGACCATAAAGCTCATCTCTTCCCAACCCCCTGCCATGGGCAGCGACACCTTTCACTCGACCAGGCTGTGTTATGAAAAGTGCCCCTCCTTTTGGAAATGGGTCATTTCAAGGCTTTTTCATTACAGTAGAGACTGAGTTGTCAGGAGTGTTCGATACTATGGATTATGGCAGTGCTCCTGAATGATGAGAATGCTTGATAGCTGTCATTTACTGTCATTTTTTATTTACTCAACTGGCCTTCATGCCTGGCTCGGGCACTTTATTAATCCAGACAGCACAAATGGATGTGTGTGCTCTTACTTTGTGCTGGGTGGAAAGCTGGGTTTCACATCTGCTGTAATATCGTGCTCTAAAAACAACTACATTTGGTCTTAAGTGAGTTTTGGAACTAAAGATTGGAAGCTAAAAGTTGCCCATGGGAGCGTGTCTGTCCCTGCTGTTGCTGAAATCGGGGAGCACAGGGGCTGGCCACCTTGGTAGGCTGCTTTGGGACCGGGTGTGGAGCTTCCTAATCATGTAAGGCAGATTCCTTGGAATTGGAGACAACTCGAAGAACCTGATACTTTTAAAGAAGCCCACTTTGCAGTCACTAAGGCAATGCTGTTGAGTTCAGCTCCATAAACCATCTCCCCATCTGCTCTAACTCCTTATCACAGCTTTGATTTTTCAGTGGTGAGACCCCAGTTTTGAGCACATGGCTGAAGGCCTGGATCTTTGCCTGGTGGAATTACTCTGATGATGGAGTTTTTCTGCCAGCTTCCCGTGCTGAGATGTGGATTTTTTTTGTCCCCACAAATCAGGACAAAAATACCCAGAAAGAACTGTGCCATTTTTAAAAATAAAAGAGCATGATTCAGGGTTGGCTTTTTTGCCACCCATTTGATTTTCTTAGGATAGTTTATAAAGTGACAAAGAAAACATAAATAAACGTCTCTCATTTTGGAAAAAACACTTTTTCTCCCTAAAATAGATGCTTCCCTTTAGTTAAAATGTTTCCTGGGAGGGAAGGTGGGAAATCTGGCAATGTGGCTTTTTTTTTCTTAGTAAAAGAGCATTTTTGGTGGCATGTTGCTTGAACACTAAGTCCGGCTCGCTTAGGCTGACCCTCTCAGTCTCCCTTCACTCCCTGCCCATCAAGGTCTGTAGGTAATGTGAGCCGCTGGGCTTGGCCAGGGTGCTGCTCCTGCATCCCACATCAGCTCTTTGCAACATATTGGTAAGTCTCCAGCTATCAAATGCATCCTTATTGCCACTGATTTACTTATAATAAACACCTGAGCTGCTGATTTCAGTCTGTTATAGGGCCACAAAAATGATCAGAGGGATGAACCATCTCTCTTACGGAGACAGGCTGAGACAGCTGGAGTTGTTTAGAGAATTCTCCGAGGAGACCTTATTAAAAGTACTGAAAGAATGGCCTATAAGAAAGATGGGGAGACACTTCTTAGTTTGGCCTATTGCAACAGGGTGATGGGTGATGGTTTTAAAAAGAGGGTACATTCAGGCTGGGCATGAGGAAGACATTGTTTACAATGAGGGTGGTGAAACACTGGCACAGGTTGCCCAGAGAGGTGGTGGATATGCCATCCCTGGAGACATTCCACGCCAGGCTGGCTATGGTTTTGAGCAACCTGATCTAGTTCAAGATGTCCCTACTCATCGCAGGGGGTTGGACTAAATGAGCTGTGAAGGCCCCTTCCAACCCAATTCATTCTGTTGTGTAGCAGCCAAAGCAATACAGAAGTGAAGGCTTGATTGATGCATGAATGCAAAGAGCAGTTTGTTAACCACGGAGGGGAAAATCCCGTCCCTTTGCTGCCTTTTGCCCTCCCGTGCTGTGGGTACATGCATCTTACCTTGGCGCTTTGTCTGCTCGCAGGCAGGGCCTCTGTAACCTGGTCGACACTGGCAGAAACACGTGTCTCCCACCAAAACAGGTTCACCGTTGTTCTGGCAGGGTCCACAGCGACAGGCGTTAAACTCCAACAAGTAATCATCCAAAGCCCGTTTCAGGTGTTGCCGCTTGGTTTCCATGTCGCCGAGGCTGCTTCTACGGAGAATTTCATGGATGGGCTGCAACTGCATAAGATGGAGATAAATAGCATGGAGACAGTTTCAGCCAAGCATTAACTGAGATGCTACCACGCCATTGGCAGAGAGCTGTGACACTGCTGGATAAACTCAGGGCTCAGAAAAACCCCATTTGTCTTCCTTGACAGCTCCATGTACATCATGCAAATGTGGTGCTACGACTGATGAGCATCAGAAGGAAATCACCGTTCCAAAACCTTCCTCATCTTAGAGGTTTCTGAAGGATAGGCTTTCCTGGACATGCTTTAGGGTTTCAGTGTGGATTCAAATGATAAGTTAAAACACCCCTGTAAGCCAATTTTTTGACTGTTTGCTTAGTGTTGTCCTGATCTTGGGGATTCTTGCATGCTTTTTGCCTTTTTGAACCAAAGTGTTTCGCTAAGAGCTTTTTGGATATCATCAAAACCTAATGCCAGCCCACCACTAATGGTGACCAGATTGTGAGTGCTGAGCATGGAGAATTTTGCCTGCATACTTCTTGTCTTTCAATGCAGTGAAATAATATTGTGCCATCTACAGCTTTAAGCATATATGCTCATAATAGTTCCAGTAGCAGAGTCTAGTTCTTATATACCATTCAGCAAAAATAATCCAGTTTGGGCAACTGTAATTATAGCTCACCCAACTGAGTATTAATATTAGAGTGAATATTAAGTCTAAAAGCTCAGGGCTGGTCTGAAGTCACATAGCTACATATGCCCATCCATGCATCTGTGCAAATGCTGTGTGTCTTGGTTAGAAAGTCCTGGAAACTGGTCCCAGAGAGGAGCTGGGCATCGTCTCATTGCGCAAGATGCAGTGAGAGTGATTTGTGGGGCTTTGGGAAGAGCTCTTAGTCAAATTTGCACAAGCCTGTTTAACAAACGAGAGGGAGCTGCCGATAAGAGCTGCTGAAGTGGACATGAGCGCTTATCGGCAGCTCCTCTTGCAGAGTGACTGCTGAGCTCCAGAGCAGCCAACAGAGAGGTCAGCACATGGTTTACTGGAAAACTGCAGTAAGTTTTGCCCAGAATTGATGGGAACTTGTGCAGAAAGGTGAATAACCTGCATCTGAAATAACCTGCCTATCAGGGCTTTCTGCCTGCAGGGTGCTGCCCAGGAAGGTTTGCAGAGTCCTTCTTGTCCTGCTAATAACATAGATAATTCCTGATTCCATTGTTCTTTCTCCCACCCTTTGTCAGAGCCAGGAGCAGGTGTGCTCTCAAATGAAGATGAGAGGGATGGAAGTGGAAGTGGCAGTGTGTTTCTTTGACTGAGGTCCTCCCCCTCAACCCCCACTGCAGACTAGCAGTTGTAGCATCTCGGGGTAGATGTGGTACTCCTGACCACAGCCAAGGAGTTGTGCCTAGCTCCTCACATCTCTGCAGTCTCTACTCCTGGATTATTAGTTTACCCTTCTGTCTCCCTTTCCACCCCCTCTGCTTGCACCCATCTCCTCCCCATCTATAGGGTGCGTCAGAGATCTTTGCCCTTTGGGGAGGCAAGACTCCTTCCCCAGCCTGCTGTGAGTCCCATTCTTATAAAGGAGGGCAGACAGCATCAAGAGGAATAATAAGGATGAATACAACCTCGGAGAGCCATTCATTGGAAAGCTGTTTGGGGACACATCAAAAACTTAACTCTGCACTAATCCAGCATTAAGCTCCTTGTCAGTCTCCCTGTGGATGCAGTCTGTGGAAGATGTACTCCCCATTGTGAAATGAATAAGAGGTTACCAGATCAGTGGCCCATTACATTTAATCTTGTTCTGTGATGGGATCACAATAAAAATACGAAATGATCTGCTCGACTACACTTTCATTCCTTATAGTGGCAGAGTTTCTTCAACTGCAGAAAAGCCTTACCTCAAAATCAATAACAGCAGGATTATATTTTAATGACCTTCCCCAGTGACGATACATATTGCCATCCCAACTGTTTAAGAGTCCTCCGCTGTAACTGCTATCTCCACCTCTAATCCGGGGAATAATATCTTCTACAACTGCACTGTTGCTCTCAGCATCTGAAAAGTTGAATTACAGCCATATTATTTAGTTATCATTTCCACACATAGACTAGAAACTGCTTAATGGAGGGGAGATCAATTGTGCAAGGAGCTGTCAGAGAGCGGCACTGCTGCTGCCTCTTGGAATCAATGGGAGCTCTGGGGCTGTCTGTAGCTAGCTAAGGGATTTACAAATCTGAGGCTTCATAGCCTCTTTGAGTACTTTTTATAGTCAGTTTTGACTTCTTTAATAGTTGCCATGTTGCCCTTATCATCCATGCCCACTCTGTCATGTGTATAGGGACTGCGGCCTTCCCCACTGCCTCTATTTACATGCATTTCTTTTCCAGGTATTGCTATCTTAATTCCTCCTCTTTCAAGAGCAACCAGGACTCCTGAAGACTTGCACCCAAAGTTGCTTTGGTCCCATGACTGGCCTGATCCATGGCTGCGGATGGCACCAGAGCTCCCTTCTTTGAACCCTTGTGTTACCCTACTTAAATGTCCATGCCCAAGTGACCAAAAGAAGTGATGCAAGATGCCTTGGCAGACATCTGCCCTCATATCCTACCGGTTTTTAGAAATCCTTTCTTTGCACAGTCAGAGGATGATATGGATGCTCCCAAATGCGCTTTATTCATGCTGCCTGTAAGGCCAATTGACCAGCCCATGCAGCCACTTATCTCTTCAGCGCTGATGCCTGCAAAACAGAAAGGAAACCAGTAAAATCAGTGACTCATTCTGAGTGGAAGCATAGGAATTTTCTCATTTGTTGGGCTTTTGTTTGGTGTTTTCTATGAACAAAGAAGATATTTGGTTATCTGCATGGCCTGTTTTTCAAAGTCAAGAGCTATTCTGGGCAGAGGACAGCCTTGCAGTGGAAAAGTCAGTGTTTAATTGGGGTATATCGGGTCCATTGCATAACAGGAATAAGAATTGTGTCCTTGGAAAGTATTAGAAAAAAGTAAAGAGATTAGCACAAGGCTTCAGGTGTGTATGTCCTTATTTGGTCTATTTATTTAAAAATACAACTTTTGCTTTAATTGTTATTTTAAAGCCTAACTCATAATTAGGATAAAGCTGGGAACAGCAGCTGAACTTGATAGATCCTTGCTGATCTTCCTATACTCAGGATCTGACCCATGTATTACTGGCTTAAGTAGCTTCTTGACTAACAACTTGCAGTAGGTTGCTGTGTGTTGAGAGCTGCCAAAGCCTTCCTACCTGCTGCTGGGCTGCTGCTGCCAGCACTGCCACATACATCATGAAAATATGTGACTGGAGACCCATGAAGCAACTGCAGAGGGGAGAAGGGAACTAATGGGGTGGTTTCACCAAGGTAAGCAATGTGCATATTTCATACAGCCCGGGTTTATGTGCTGCGAATATAAGGCTGTCTTCTTTAATAGTTAAAAAATCCATTGATTTCAATAAATACAGGTATTGTAAGTAATAGGTAACTTTTATATTGCCCTTCTTGTCAGAGGGCTTTAAAGGGTTTTACAAAGCAGCCCTGTGATCAATACTACAGTATTGAAAGGGAGGCAACAGAGGTCATCGGGATTTGTGCATCATGGCTTAATGGTCTAAAGATTGAACCTCCAGCCAAGCCCCACTGTAGACTGTTGTCTGCTGAACTGCCTTACCCCAGCACTGGGGAGCAGTGGCTTGCATTGCCTATGTTTAAAATACTGGTAAAACACCCATAGATCTGTTTCTGCTCCCTTCTGCACACCCTGCAGAAGAGGCTGGCTGGAGCAATGTGCAGCATGGATCTGCTCATTGGCTTTGTGGATCCCAAAGATTGGAGGTGCTCCTATAGCCCCTGAGAGAGGGGCTACAAGTCCTGGATTGAAACCTGTGAGAGCTGAAAGATGCTCAAGACTTCAGGAGGAATTACATCCCATTGCAAAAGTGGGCTCTTGAGAAAGACTAAATGTGTAGCACTCAATTACTGCTACTAAACTGCTCAGCAGTTGTAAACACAGTGGGTAAAGTTCATTCACCCAAAGCTACATGAGGGATTGCTTATATTGGTGGTGGAGTAGCATAAAATTAAACTTGAGGAACACCCTGATTAATTGATTTGCCATGGTTCCCGTTGAGTAATTACGTTCAGCGAGGGTCTGTCAATACAATTTGCTATTGGTTGCAGCAAGATCGTGTCTTGATAAATGAAAAGTGGTTATCACTGCAAAAGGGTGGCCATAGAAAATATTGGCACTTGAGGGGGGAGCCCTGGTGGGGTTTTTTATATGATATAATTTGTGATAGTTAAATGTGCTCGACTGATAAGATTTACTGCTGCATTTTGAATTAATCAGAATATATGAAGACTCTCTAATTTACTCTGTGCGTAATGTTTCTCCCATAAATGTTCTTGTAATGTGTGAGCACATTATACTGTTTTCTGCTAAATAATAGAACCATAACAATCTATTTTAAAAACAAGTAATGAAAAATATTGATGGCAGAGCAAGGAGGGACCTCATTCTGACATATGTATTTATTTCACTCATGACCACATCCATGCAAGCCTTTGCAGCCTGAAAGCTAGAAATGGGTCTTGCAGCAAAAAGCAGTCCTAAGCTATGCAGCAGTGAGTTGTGGTCTGTTCTTAGGTATCTAAACCCAGAAGGTGACTTCATTTTCATGCTTAAAAGTCCAGCTTATGCCTATGCTTAGCTAGATACTCAGCAACTGCCCAAGCTGTCTCTTGTTTAGGGAGGGAGCAGCCTAGGGATCTTTTTCCTGGGCATGTGCTTTAGTCACTGGTCTATAAGAAAGGAATGTTTTCTCTTCCAGAGCATTTAACACATAGACTTAAGGGCTAGGTGGGCTCTAAGGAAGCAGTGGTTGATCCAAAGTAGGTGTCATGCTTCTTAGCCCTGGTACATCTCCAGGCATCTCCAGAGCTTCAAACTCATCTTATGAAGCTCTGATTTTAAGACCTGAGCACTTACATCGTGATCCTGACTATTCCTCAGAGGAGGCAGTTAATCCTCTTGCACACACAGCCTTCAAGCATGGCTGTTATTTCCATTAGAGAAATCAGGGTTTTTTACTAAATGCTTTTAGACAGGGGCATATCAGCCACTGCAGGTGGGAATCCTTCTTGGTCTATGCTGTGTGTCATAGAGTGCTGCTGACTTGGTATATGTGGGCTTTCTAGCAGAGTCTGGGTTAGATGAATGTTACGGAAGCATGTTTCATTAGAATGAAAATTACATCATCTCCACTGGGGCACATTTTTGTCTTTTGCTGAACTTCAACATCCTTCTTTCCTAAGATAAGGCATCTCGTAGCAGTAAATCTCCTCCTTATATACACAGCAAGCACAAGATAAAGTAAAATAATAGCCTCCCTCCACATGCTCTGGATTCATTCTTCCTCTGAAATTGGCAGTCTACTTCCTTAAGACTTGCTTGGCAAGATCTTGTTCACTTCTACATCACTCACTCTTCAAAGTGAATAAATGGTGTGAAGAGGCATCATATTTCCAAATATTAGTTCGGGGACTTGATGCAAATTCTCTCAATTGGTAATTTCTTGTGGAAAATTGGCCTGGTCAATACTCAATATGGAGTGCACAGTTATCCTAAGTGCTGCTACCAAACTGTTTCAGACCGGGGGCAGAATTTGGGGCAGAACCATGGAAATTGATGGAATTAATGGAATCACAGCAGTTTGTACCAACTGCAGCAATTTTCATCTCTTGTCCGTGATCATGGTTTTCTTTTGCATAAACGTCCAGCCTAGAGTTACCAAGGAGCCTTATCCTCCACAGAACGGAATGACGTTCCATAGGGAAAGTGGGATCTATTGCATTGTCAACACCTTTGCAAAACTTGACAATCTGGTTCATGTACTAAAGATACTATTGTTCTGCACCTTATTTTTTGGATTAGGAAAAACATTCTGGTTTGGCTCACCACTAACGCCTATTCTTGTGTTGTAGACAACTGTGGTAGATATTTTATGTAACTGAGATTTAGAGGTATGGCTTTTCAGCCTCATACACTCCAATACATTGAGAACTGGAGCTAACAGAGGTCTGTTAGTCTTCAGATGTGACAGTAACCAGAAAAAAAGTGGCAGAGGTATTACCAACAACAGTGTTTTCTTCCCATTTACAGGAAATTGAAACTCTCACTATCAAGATGCTGAAACAAGAGCGGGCTAATTTGCTTTAGTCTGCATGAGTTTGAAGTCCTTGAACATTCGTAGAAATGGCCAGAACAATGACTGTAAGAAACAGCAGAAGTTTAGAGAAGTGACACTGAAAGAAAGGGAGAAAATCATAGAATCATAGAATAGTTAGTGTTGGAAAGGACCTTAAGGTCATCCAGTTCCAACTCCCCTGCCATGGGCAGGGACACCTCACACTAAACCATGGCACCCAAGGCCTTGTCCAACCTGGCCTTGAACACTGCCAGGGATGGAGCATTCACAACCTCCCTGGGCAACCCATTCCAGTGCCTCATCACCCTAACAGGAAAGAATTTCCTCCTTATATCCAATCTAAACTTCCCCTGTTTAAGTTTTAACCCATTACCCCTTGTCCTATCACTGCAGTCCCTAATGAAGAGTCCCTCCCCAGCATCCCTATAGGCCCCCTTCAGATACTGGAAGGCTGCTATGAGGTCTCCACGCAGCCTTCTCTTCTCCAGGATGAACAGCCCCAACTTTCTCAGCCTATCTTCATACAGGAGGTGCTCCAGTCCCCTGATCATTCTCTTGGCCCTCCTCTGAACTTGTTCCAACAGTTCCATGCTCAGGTTCCTTCCTAAACTACCAAAAACTCACCCAGATTCTTTGAAATTAGATCAAGAAGCATATTTTGTGACACTCAAGCTTATGCCCTGCTTTCTGGTCAGTAGTGCATCCATCTTGTGAACAACATTCAGATACCTCTACCTCACTCCCACTGTGCCTTTTTGGGCTTGCGATGCATATGTGTCTATCCTGTGATGGGACATGCCAGCTGGCTCAGCAAAGAGGTGCCAATGAGCACCAACTCTCCCAGGGCTCAGGGAGAGAATGGCAGGTAGAATCAACCAGAACCAGATGAATTACTCTGGTGGAGTGGACCTACACCATGGTGACCAGGTTGGAAATGCCTGGCTTTGAGCAGGATTGTGTGAATAGAGTGTATTTTGTCATTTTCTAACCTTTTCTTCTCATTTCCTCCTTGTTAATGACAAGGATGTACTCAAAGACACCTCCCATAGTGCCAGATGTCATGAAGTGGGTACCATAGTCATTGATGAATCTGGCGTACATGCCATAGTTATAGGTGTCTGGAAGCTCCTGCAGGGAGAGCAACACATCTTCATCCAAAACAATGTTGTCCCTTCTCATCTGGAAACGGGCTGTCTGCACCTTTGTCACACCTCTAATGAAACCAACCTCCTGCAGGTGAAGAAAAGAGGAGCTGCCATTCAACATACATTTTAAATTAAAATAAAATAGAAGTAATTTCTGGTCTATAGATTTGCAGAGGAAAGCCTGAATCTCTGACTGTCAGTGTGTGTTGAAGGCAGGGAAACAAGCCCAGGTTTAAATGAAATTGGTGGTAACTCTTTTAGAGTGCCTCTTCCTCGCACGCTGTGTGAGGTGAGGGCAAAACCATGGGTTTGGGTTTTTTATGTGTGCATATGATCAGAATCAGGCTCCACATGATTCCCCTCCATCCTCCATTTCTGCTATTCCTTTTTCCTCTTTTCCTTTCCGTAGTGTTAATTCCCTTTTGCCTTTTTCACAGCCTTAATCAGTGATGCAGGACAAAGGCTCAAGGTAAGCCCAGCACAGCACTGGAGGAGGAAGATGCTGATTGTGGAAGCATTTCCTGGGTATGCCACCAGCTCCATGACTCCTTTTCTAGATGAACCATTGACTCGACAAGGCTCCAGTGCAACCAGAACAGCCCTTTAAATGATTCCTCCAGTAATTGATCATTGTTTTGCTGTAAACATCGTGTGAGTCTAGACAAGGGCACAGTAAATGCTATAATAGTGCCCATTTCAAGCAGTTTTTAAGGGCATTTTAACTCAGAACACTATCAAAGTAATTCTTCTTTATTGTTTTCTGTCAGCAGCCACAAAAGTAATAGAGACAGGGCATGGCAAATGTGGGAAATGCCAGCATTCATGTTATTAGATTGGAAAGAGATCGCCACAGCTAGTCCATGATGTAAACCCACTATGAGAAATACACCCTCTTACTGGGTATCCTTTTTTTCAGTGTGCTATTTTAACCGCTCATAAAAAGTAGCATATTTCAGCATCATAAGGCAGCTTGTATTAATTTGAACAAAATATATGTGCTACCAGAGATCATCCCCTGAAGACAACTGTTTTGATCAACATCTTGGTATTTCCTCCTCCCTCATCGTCACTTTAAGCATTTTTTTATTTATGTGCTTAATGTAGCCATGAAACAGGATGGGGGGAGATGACATGTGTTGTGGTGCTTCATAGTTCCATTTTATTCCCACTCCCTGTTTGCTAAACCATAAGAAGAACAACAAACAGGATTACTAACGATGATACATTTGCAATTACATGAACAAATTAAGGTACAATTACTATGTGTTAAAAAATGCAATTGAGAGGATCAGCTGACATAAGTTACAGCCAGCCCATGTGACGCACAGATGACACAACTGGAGAATTATGCATCACTGATTTGTTATTTTTCTTTTACCTTTGTAGCGTATTGTGTGAAATTCTTCAGGGATCCTTTGCCACCTGATAAAGTGAAGCCCAGGTCTAACTGGAACGCTGGTCCTGTATACCCGATTCCAATGGTAAAGCCTCTTGTTCTGGATTTATCGCTTTTAAGGGCATCGAGCAGATCCTTTGAATCATCATAAAACTCAAAAGTGAATCCAGAATCAGCATGAGCCTAAAGTGAAAGGAGCAGAGATGAATTTTTAGGTACTTCTCTTTATTTTTAATCTCTGTTTCTTTAAGGAGTTAATGGTGCCTCTGTTGAAGCCTGTGATGGTCCTGACAGCACCAACATTGACTGCAGTGAATGTGGAATAAAGAATTAAGTCACATGCAATTTCATTTGGAAATACGTGAGAAATGTGGATAAAGCTTCATCCATCTCCAGGCGGGGGAAAAGCTTGTGTTTAGCCAACTCAAAACAGTGCCATTACAGCCAGAGCTGGTAATGGTACTTATTAAGCTAGCTTGACACTTCCCATTATAAAACCCTCCTTCCAGTTCTTTACAGCTCTGCCAGATCCTAACGATTTGGAGTGAATTTTTTGTCTCCAGCTTGCTTCTGGATGAATTTATTTAGGGAAAGAAATTCAACAGCAGTGATCCAGCCTCTTGCAATGGCAGTGCTGGAAAACAAACATTGTTTTGCCTGTGTTTTAGAGCACTGACCTTTTCTTTGACAGCTCTACTCTGCTGGCATGTGGAATTGAGCAGCCTTGCTGAATTCAGGCAGTGCCATTTGCCATCCCTATAAAAAGCCAGTTAAATAATTACGGACACTGAAGAAAACATCTCACATTAACGTGACTTCCTAGACCCAGCAGGTAGACACTCCTAAGTCAAGATGCATATCGAGCATGCTCAAGTGTCCCTCAGTGCCTGACCGTGGTGCAAAAGCGGGCCTTCCACCACTAGCAGCAGGTAAGGGGGAAAAGAAAATGTGGTTCATGTGGTGGGTCTGTCTGGATTCAAACTGGGGAATCAGGGGCACAGGGAACTGCTGGAACGGAAAAACCACTCGCATTGAACCTGTGGCTGTAATATTCTCTTGGAATAACGTGTTTTATTCATTCATGTCAAAAAGCATGATAAATGTTTAACAGTGTGGCCAAGGCACCCACTTAATACATGGGAGTCCCAGGCTGAATCCTTGCTCTACTTAGTTCAGTCTCCAGCATCAGATATGATCCCACAGAGTATAGGCATTGTGATACATGGTGATGGCTTTCAGGATCTCTGTCTCACTCAGAATTTGGATTTATGTCCCTTGTAGCCATGCCAAAGACTTAAAATGCTTTCAAAGACTGAACCAGTAGCATTGTTCCCGTTTTACACATGGCCAAATTCATCCCTAGAGAGGCAAGTGTCTTGTGCAAGCTCTACAGTTCATTAATAGCAGGATTTAGAGAAAACCCGTTTCTCTTGGCTCTTACTAGGCCAGAGTAAGCAGTGGCAATGACTGGGTGATAAAGCATGTTAGTTCCTTGATGTGCCATAAAATAGCATTTATATCATCGATTGCCTGTTGTCTTGGGTGCAGCTTGGGTACCTGGAAAGACAGCCTATAGTGAATGACAAAATGTACCTAACTAACATCTTTATGGGAAGTTTAGCTGGGAAAACATTGCTAAATCTGATTACCCAAAGGACTTACTAGGAACTGGTATATGTGGAAGTTGTAAGGCTTGCGGAAATACTTCTCGTCATCTCCATAGTACAGATGTTCACATGCAGCATCGTACTTCAGCTCCCGCCACTCTCCATTGTAGACATACTCACATTGGCCTCCAAAAAAATTAGGGTCATATATGTACTGTTTCCCTTCCTGTGTTAGGATATTGTATCTGGCAAAGAATTAACATTCAGGAAGTTACCCATAGCTCCAGTTTTATTTCCTCACCAGCCTCTGTCACTGTTTCTGTTCTCCTCATACTATAAGTTACCTATCGTCAGGTCTCTGCCTTTGGATAGCACTGAAAATCTTTGGGGTTTTTCTCTCCTTGCTATCTGCTTCCCAAAGCTAACGGGACACAAAGAGCCACTTTATTTCCAAACATTGGTTTGGACTCATATGCTACAAATGGAAGAAATCAGTAAAGGTGTCCAGTCTATTCCTGCAAGTGCGGTTATGAAAGTTCCAAGGTCCTGGAATTCCTCCAGGTTCCCCATGGGCCTAATGCATCTCGCTGTCACAAAGTGTTTCCTGGTATTCCCTGTAATTGTTTTCTATCTTAATTTCATCTTCTTCCCTTTAATAATGCCCTGTTTCTCAGGGGAGTTAGCACTCTCCCTAGACTTGCAGTCTGCTTGTGCTTTGCCAAGTCTCTCACTTCTTATTTCCTTATGCCTCTTTCTTCCTGCTCCTCAGCCATCACAGCTGCTGCCCTCTGAAATCTGCCTATTACTTAATATTCCCTGTAATTCTATGGCTCCAAATGAAAGCATTATTCAAACTAGACAGCAGCATTCCTCCTCACAACAGGGACTTTTTAATGGACAGAAGTATTTACCCTGTATATATTCATGTGGAGCTCAGGCTCTCTGCCTTGAATTGTGCTCCGAAGTCCTAATTCCTGTAGTTAAACCTTCTCCTTAAGAATGAACGCCACCAGGATGCTGCATTTCCAAAGTCTACGGTTGCTTTAATAGATTGCTTTTATCAACTGGAAAAATCTGTGAGATAACTGGGATGTATTTTTGCAGGAGTATAAAGAGGGCATCACAAGTATGGAGTGGCTGGGAGAGGCCAAGGTCAGACATTAAATCCAAAACAGAATTTGAAAGAAACGCTGGGATGAGCCCTCCTGCTTCCGTCATTGCTACCCATGCTTGTGGGGGACAGTACCTCTCCTTTGGGCTTTCTGCAGCACCTTATCGATTCACGGAGCATTGCAATTACTGAAGAAATGCAATATGAAACACTTAATCCTGTTTTGATTGTGAGAGTAGCAGCTATTGAGTAATTACCTACCCTTGGACTGCTTTTTCAGACCCTGGGATTGGGAACAGCTGTTCACAAGGGCTTTCAATGTCTTCATCCTCACAGTTATCCTCATCAGACCCATCTCTGCAGTCTGGCTCCCCATTGCACACAAGATGTCGTTTAATACAGCGACCTAAAGGGCACAGATACAGGTGATCTCACCTACCTGCCCTTCAGAAAACCTTTTCAGCATCTTGCACTGTTTGTGCTGTTCTCCACCCATATCTTGGGGCCACAAGAAGTCCCTCTGGGTGTTAAACACGGGGCTTTTACATTGGGAGCTTGATTTTCCCATCTCCTTCAGGGCAGGTTTTCCTTTGCAAACTGGAGTGAACACAGCTCAGAGTCTGAGCTGACTGCTCCCATGGGATTCCATGGAGTGGGAGTCAAATCAAGGTCACATCTCTGGCCTGATTTTATTATCTAACATCATGCTCTTGGAAAAGAGCTACAGGAAGCAATAGCATCTCCGCTTGGCTCAGGGAAGTCAGCTCCATCTGATTAAAGTGCAGTTTTGCCTCTTCCCTTTGCTGGAGGTATTTGGGAAGTTTATTGCAACAATTATAGCTCAAGAATGGATGTTTGCAGGAAGGGCAAGTTGAAGGTGCTTCCCCTTCTGGGAGTGAGGAGAAAGCCTTGACATAACATTTGTGAGCAGAGGGAACTGGTCCTGCTACACTTGCTACCATGGAGCAAAGAAATCTGGAGAGGGACTTTTTACAAGGGCATGTAGTGACAGGACAAGGGGGAATGGCTTTAACCTAAGAGAGGGGAGATTTAGATTAGATATTAGGCAGAAGCTCTTCCCTGTGAGGGTGCTGAGGTGCTGGCACAGGGTGCCCAGAGAAGCTGTGGCTGCCCCATTCCTGGCAGTGTTCAAGGTCAGGTTGGACACAGGGTCTTGGAGCAACCTGCTCTAGTGGAAGGTGTCCCTGCCCGTGGCAGGGGTTGGAACTGGATGGGCTTTAAGGTCCCTTCCAACCCAAACTATTCTGTGATTCTATGGTTCTATGATAACCTGATCTAGCTGATGAGCTGGTCACAGAGCTGGCACGTAGTTCTAAATGTCAGTAGAATTTTCATTAAATACTCAAGATGGGAGTTTGAGCCATTTGTGTAAAACCAGAAATCTGTCAAGGCTAATGAAACTTTCAGAGAACAGCCGCATTATATCCCAATCCTCAGAGCTGGGGATGGCTAAAAATAAATAAATCACCCCAACAGATTGCTTGTTGGATTTATGATTGAACTATGTCTTTTGCAAGGAGAGAAAGTGGTGTGTTGTGGGCGCGTTGGTGCCCATGGAGGGGAGTGCAAGCATGTAGCACAGCAGTTGGAGCAGAATATTTCTACTCTCTTTGTTCCACTGAAAAAATTAACCTTTTCCATGTCATAGAGCCTTCTTTTCTAGATAAATCTGAGTAGAACATGGGTGGATTTCTATAAAAGTTGGGGGGAAGAAACAAATATGGGGGAATTTCCTTCTTTCTCTTTCACCAGTTCACCATCCAGCTGGCCAGTTGGCAAAGCTCTGCCCATGGTAATAGCATAGACAGGTGTTACCTCATGCCTGCCCACCCAGGACCAAACCCTCTTTGGCAGAAGCTTGTGCTTGGTTCACTCACCTGTTTCCTCACACTGAAAGTCCTTCCCACAGCTGGGGGGTCCAGTGCATGTCGTCTCTGTACGGCAAGCTTGCTCATCCCAAAGATGCCCTGCGCATTGCTGCCCTGCAAACTGCGCCGGCTGCACCAGCCTCCGGTACCGATGCTAAACCCCACAAGAGAGAAAAACATCACCAACACCTAACTTAGATCCTACCAAGACATCCCTCCACAGGCTATAAAGCAACTGAAACTATTGCTTTTATCTATAGTATTATTCTTTGGCCCCAAAACTTTGTACATAATAAATGGAGGGGAGGTGGCAGAGAGGTGGAAGCGCCGGAGGTTTGCTTGAAGTTCACACAAGTGAATGTTGAAGGGGCTGGAATAACTGGTTTTAAGAATCTTTTCCCTATTTTATACCTTAGAAATAATACATATATTTTCCAGTTGTAGGTGCTTCGTCCTGGAATGTAACAGGCTCAGATGGACACAGACACTAATTGCAGCACTGATCCCACACTATTTCTGATGGATTATTAATGAGAATTGCTGCTCTTGAAACTAGTAAATAAAAAGGAAAGAGAGAAAAGCCAAATCATTTACTGATTATAAGCCCAGGAGCAAAAACTGCAGGGATATAAACTCAGTAGAAAGCAAAATTATGCCAGGTATTTGAAAAGAAATTCTTGAATTATGAAGATGCGAATGATATAAAAAATTAAGAACAGGAGCTGATGAATGAAGCTGCTTCTAATTTCTTTTCATTGGAATGTTTGCATTAAGAATCAGCAGATACTTAATTAAATCTGAGATAGAAAAAGAAGAAAGTCTTGGGCAAATATTCTGGCTGGATTCTTCCACCATTTGCCTTGATTTTGCATCTTGATGTTCTGCTGCCTTAAAGGAATCTATTCCCCAGTTTACACCAGGGTAAGAGTCTCTTTAGTAAAGGAGCATCTCCATCATATTTGGATGAGTTTACTGGATGCTTCAGAATGATGAATATGTATAATATATATAATTAATGTGTGTACATCCTCATCACAGACACATCTGAAGATAAATGAATACATTACAGTGGAGTCTTACTTTTTTCTCTTGGCAAGGAAAGCAATCAGTCCATTCTGACCACTGGCTCAGCTGACAGTCAACAGGAGCTGGAGAATTAACATCTCTGCTGCTTCTTCTAAGGAGGGGAAGAGATAGCAGGAAGGTCTTTGAAGTTGTGTCTTATGGAGGGGTGGGGAGTAGCAGGGAGAAAATGATCAGTGTGTGGTTTTCCACTGGGAATCTATTTTATAGGAAATGGGAAGTATCGCTTAGCAGGGTGGCTGTACTACCCGAGATGCTCCATCTGAGTATTCAGCATCAGAACTGGTCAGGGGCAGCAAGTGCACGACCTGAGGATTTTGGGTTGGGTTTCCGGCTCTCCCAAGAGATCCTCGCCCTTCCCAATAAGTAGATTGCAATAAAACCTATATATATCTTATATATAAGACCAAACACACTGAGAAGCACATCGCGGACTCCATAAGTGATGTTTTATTACCTTCGGCCTGTACTGAAACCTACTGAATCAGATTCCCAGAGGCTTTGTGGAGTAGTGGGAATGGCTGCACCAACAGTGCAGAGAAGGGAAGGTAAAAAGCCATGTTAACTAGGAGAATTTGTTGGTTAACTACTTCTAAAAGGAAACATAAATTCTGAGAAGAGGAAAGTAACTAAAAGGAGATTATAAAAGCAGAAAATGGCAAGGGTTCTGTATCCAGAATCCCTTGGATCAGGCTCTCTTCGTGTACACTGAATATCACTATACAACAGCAAGAAAATACTTCTCTTCCCTCCCAGCCCAGAGTTTATGAGCTCTATTTCTGTCCCTACTCCTACAGTCTTTCTTTGTATACTGCCTTTCTTTGTCTTGAGGAGCAATCTGTGGCTTGCTAATACAACTCTGCATTTGCCACAGCCTTTGAAGCATTTTGAGGGGTTATTCTGAGCCAAATGCTGTTATTAGTAGTATTATTACTATTATTTTGGTGATTAACTAATGAGCAATCTGTTTCACTTACAGGCCTGCAGTCCAAAGAGAAATATTGATAATTACTAGAGGTATAGGGCACAATGGGGATTCCTCAGAGGCTGTAGAAGAGAGACGTACTAAATGAAAGCCACAACAGCTCAGCAAGGGAGCCTGTGGACGCAGATAAGTGTGCGAGATAAAACCCCACCGTGGCTTCAGGAAAACAACAGGAGCCTGCAGACAAACACAGAGCTGGAGGACACGCAGGTATTGATGCCTTTTTGCTCTGACAGGAGGATTTGTGGGCTGTATCCTTCAGCACTTCACAAAGTGCTTAATTGGCTCACCTTCGATCGGGTTTTACATTTACCTCTTCATTATTCTGCCTTGTTTGATAAGTTCATCAAACATCAAAAATCTTGTCTTTGTTCATTTTCAAAAGGGATTATCGGAATAAGCCTTCATAATTAAGTGTATCACTACCCCTTTTTTTTTCCCTTTCCGTCTTCTCCTTGTCTCCATGTTCCAATTATCACTGATACCCATTTTGATCCTTCTAAATCATATTTGCCTTTAGAACAAGGCTGAAATTAATAACTGTAGGAAAAAAAACCCAACTGTTTTCCTATCATAACACTATTGCTTTAGAAAAGAAGTAACTTGTTTATTCCCTTCCTTCAAAGCCAAAGTGACACTCCTATAGGTTAATAATATTGTTTGGGGAAAAAAACTGAGGCATGAGGATCTGGCTTGGATTGCAGATTGGGTTATTCCCGTGCACTTGTTAACTTCCCATTGGCAAATGCAACATAATTATATGAAAAGGAATACAAAAAACATTCACTTGTAAATCATCCTATATAGGGAATTAATTTCAAGTGCCCAAACCCAGTATGGTAATTTTGGTAAGGGAGTTTAAGACGGCTTAATAGTCATCTGTGAAAGAAAAACCATTGTGCAAACAATTCCTATAAGAAGGAATTACGATGCCGAGCTTGGGCTTTGGACAACTGCCAGTATGTTTTTTCCCTGGTAGCTGTTTACAGAGAGCACAGTGTGCACATGCCTCATGTCAGGACAAAATGGATGGCCTGACTGACTTGTCTGTAATTTCTGTATGTAAAGCTGGGGGGGGAATGGACTTACCTCTGGGAAGACAATGTCTCAAGCTCCCTGTGTGCTGTAGCTGTGGCCTGACATGCTGCTAAAGCCAGCGAGCATATAGACAGAATCAAAGGAGAAAGCTGACACAAGCCCCACCACATGGTTTCTCCATATGTAAATGTTTGCTATAGATTAGCTGCAGATCTTTAGGCTTCAGGATGCTGTGGGGCAAGCACTGCTAGAAGCAGCATGGAGGCCGCTGGACTCCAAAACACTGAGGTAAATCATTGACAATAGCACAGATCAAATCACAAAGAGTCAGGACACATCCTGGAGGCCTTTGCCCTTTTGGAAAGAAATTCCCAGTTTTCTGGCAGGGGAATTAAGCTGTGCAACTGTTTCCGCATCAAAGTCAGTCAAGTCCTATTGCAGCAGTGTGTTTCTTGTCCAGCCTGCACCCTCCTTTTAATCTGAAGAAGAAGGAAACTAATTTTCTTTCCCACAGTGACTTAACTGTAATCTTGGTGTGTCTGCTTGCTGACCAGGGAAAAGCTTCCCAGGACAGCAAATTGAAGCTTATCATAAAATTGTGTTATGAGGAACATGCACCTTCCAGGTACATCAAGGTGATGTCAATTCAGGTGCTTCCCACTTGCCATCCCCCAAAGATAGCATCCCATCTCCAAAGCTGATGTGAGTTATCACTTGGCTTTTGGATAGTCAGGAATCTAAGTCTTGGGGTGAGGAAGATACCCCCTAAATCTGAAACTGTGTCTAACCTATATGCTGTGCAAACCCATCTGTTAGTGGTGGCTCTAATGCTTTTAGGTGGTTGGAAGTAGTGGATGTGCACAAGAAAGCAATACCAGAAAACCAAGGACACCGTGGGTTGTTTACTATCAAGATAATAGTCACAAGATGAGAATAGTTAGTTTTCATGTGCTGGAAGGAAAAATGGCCATTGGGAAGACACATGGTCATTCTATAGCCAAGTTGCTGCATACCTGTTTCCTCAAGCATGCACATAGCCTGCAAAACTCCCCTGAAGGCTCCTGGGCAGGCACAAAAATGCAAAAGAAATCTGTAACTTCATCAGATATTAGTTTTAAATAAAGAGTAAGAGATCTATGGAGACTTGCGTTCAAACAGGGGTCTGTATTTCCCTGCTTTTTCTTCCACAATAAGTGGGCTGAGATGCTTCATGCATAAATGAAGTGTTCCCAGTAGACAACTGGAAGCTTGAGCTTCAATAAATTCAAGAGGAAGCATAATTATTATAGGGAAAAGTGATCTTACACCTATTAAACAGACAGTGAATGTCCTCTGTCCACAAAAGCCTAGGAGAGAAGTGTCGCGTTGTGCATTTCCCACATTAATTGCAAGGCTCATTTCAATAGCTGGTATTGTATATTATCAAATAAAAGGGCCTCTTACCATGTTATTTTAATGTAATTAAAGTTCAGAGTGACCCTTGGGCCATGCTAAACATGAAGAAATATAGCACATGGGTAAACTGCAGTGAAATGAAATGAGAACTGCCTTTTTGTGACCTTCGAGAATATGTTAAGGTAATCCCTTACCTACTACTGCACTTCAGATGAGTTCAGAAAGTTCTTCTTTCTTCTACACAATAAGAATTCAAATAAGGGTTTTAATATTTTTTTTAATATACTATTAAACCTAAATTGCTTTTGCCTGGGAGAAAAGCAGGGTATTGGAACTGGCCTAAGGCAATCACCACCATTACCTCCCTGTTATGCATTCCAGCCTCTCTGCTTATCGCTGTTAAGACAGAACAGCATTAAAAGGTTTTAGAATACGTATAGAGATCTGATAAGGATGGACCCCACTGTCCCTGTGGTTAGAACCTCCCTGGCCATCTCCCAAACCTATCTTTGGCTCAGACTTGGGTCATCCTGTGATATAAATGTCTCCTTGCACAGTCAAGTGCCTCCTCAGCATCTAAGCAGGACTGTCGAAGCATTATACCTTTCCATCTCTGACAGCAGCATCAGAAACACCACGTATATGTAATTAAAGTTATTTGTGCCACATCTCCCAGGTAAAAGGCTGGGCTGGTTTGTGCAATCAGGCACAACAACAATTTCTCACTGATAGGTGAGGTTGCTTGGGGGGAGGCAGGTGAGAGAGTTTTAATCAGCAAGCAAGGCACACCACCTTAGAGGTGAAATTAAAGAACTTTTCTTATAGGTGTTATGTTCCAGAAGTGGGGTATATAGAAGTTACGGGTCCATTTGTAATGTTATGAATTGAAATTGTCTAAAATGTATGTTGGATCCTTGCCTCTAAACCTGACTTAATTCTCTGGATCTCTGGCATGCAGTGCCAGATAGCAACACGGTCACCTTCAGGAGGATGAGGAACTGGGGGCTTTTCAGGAGCATGGACATAGGGGCTGTGAGCAGGCTGGGCTGAGCATCGTCACCTTGTGACTATTCCCCTCACAAAGCTCTTTTCCCTGACACTGAAGAGCTCTTCATTGCCAGCCTCTAATTAGAAGACACATAACTCCTCATTTACAGCTATTCTGTGTCTAAAATCAGGGGCAGATGAACTCAGGGTAAACAAACCTGGGCACCCTCTTTTCCTCACTCACAGCAATACAGGATTTTGTTCCACTACAAAAGGTCTCTGATTCAGACATACTTGGCCCAACAAGAGGAATTAATTTCTGTGTGCAGAATGCATTGATCTTTTAAATAGCACCTGAACAGCACATTTGGTAATGTATCTGTCTACAAGAACCTAGCTCTAGGGTGAAGTTATATTACAAGAGCTAACATAATGTTGTTGTTGTCCAGCAATTTGCATTTGTACTTTCTTTATACATAGGTTTTTATTTTTAGTACAGTCATATAGTTTTTGCTGCAGGGGATACAGTTACTTAAAAGAATAATCTTTTCTAATGCCTGTATTCTATTTATAATTTTTTTGTAGTACATTATTCATGCACTACTGTAAATCTGGATTTCATTCCTGACTTGAAGACCATGAACATCTAAAGGCAGAGCCCTGTTCTGTTTTATTCTCTTCAATACATCATACCCACAAAGTTGTATCTGAGCTTCTTGCTGTCATGCATTAAGCAATGTGACTGACACCTGCCATGTGCTGTTTGTTCCCTTGTGGTTCCCCAGGGAAAAGTGCAGAGCAGACAGCCTTTCATTCAGAGTAGGGTGGTGGTTTCTAAAACATAGAGTTTGCTGCAGTGCTCAGGGGTTATAGAGATGTTAGACATGGCAAGATCAAGAAATGATGCCTAGCAACTGGAGCGCTGCCCTTGGAAAGTTTGCCATTTCACACGTGCTTTCGCAGCACACATGGGCTTTCTGAGCTCATCCTCTCTGCAAGCACTGGAGAGCTTGCTCTGCAAAGCAGCTTGGTAAAATAACATCTGTTTTGCCAAGGAAGCAAAGCTGGTTATCAATCTTCATCTCTGAACTTCAAAATCTCAGCAGAGGATATATTCAAGAGGTATATTCAAGAGGAGGGTTTAGGTTTGGAAGATGGCTATGTATTGTATAGAAAACATAAGACATGAGTAGAAGCATTAAGAAATGTGAGACAGATGTAATGTGTTTGTTATAGTTTATGCTGCTGAGCAGATGCTCTGCTAGATGATATTTGTGCAGTCCTGAAGGCTTCAGGCCTGTGTGTGCTGCATTATTGCAGGGCAAAGAAAGGCTGTACCTGACCCTGGTCATCATCTCTGTGTCAGTGGGGTGAAAGCAAGCACTGCCTTCAGACACTGACAGGAGTGGTCACTCTCACAGTGATGGTTCCACTCCATAGTTGTGTCCTGATAACGGGCTGACCACCTCTGCAACCACCAACATGCTTTTCCTCTGTGCATTAGTTGTACATCTTGTTTATTCATAGAATCATGAAATTATTTGGGTTGGAAGGGTCCTTAGAGCTCATCTAGTTCTAATCCCCTGCCACAGGCAGGGACACCTTCCACTAGAGGCAGGTTGCTCCAAGCCCCTGTGTCCAACCTGGCCTTGAACACTGCCAGGGATGGGGCAGCCACAGCTTCCTGAGGTTTATCTGGTTTTCATCCCCAGCTTAAATTCTCTGGCTATTGAGTGCTCACAGTGAGATCATACCTTGTAAGGACCAACAAAACCATGTGTCATTTATGCGTGTTGGTCTGTTACTGAACCTGGTGAATGCAGAGGTGTGAAAAAGGTCCACCTGAGGACCAGAAGAAGCTGTGAATGCTCCAACCCTGGCAGTGTTCGAGGCCAGGTTGGGCAGAGCCTTGGGTGGCATGGTTTAGTGGGAGGTGTCCCTGTCCATGGCAGGGGGGTTGGAACTGGATGATCTTAAGGTCCTTTCCAACCCTAACTATTCTGTGATTCTATAAGCACAGCTTTAGTGCTGGATGTGCCAGTCCTCATTTGGTGTCACTGAACACTGAGCTAGTTGGGTAACATTCCTTCTACAGCATAAACAGCCTTGAACACACAAACAACTATATGAGCTATATTGCTAAGAAAGAAGTATGCCCTTAAGTGTGGGATCAAGGCCATACTGCAGATACAGCCTTGTAGTTTAGACAGATAAAAAACCTGACAAGTTGCAAGACTTTTAAATTCATTTTCTTAGCTACCACAGTGCTTTGATGGGGCTGATCTTAAAGCTTCTGAAGGAGCCACATGGGTACCTACATTGGCTCCTCCTAAACACCAGTTTCTCCTGGCCAGTAAAAGGGAGCGTTAGCTTTTTGAATGCAGGGATCAATAGTACTGCATTTTCTCATAGTTCTTATTAATGCAAGTGATGCAAGACGGAGCAAGCGGCTCGATGGTGGAACAAGTGATCCTATCTCCCCCTCTGCTGGAAAACCACGATATGACCTCCTGGCAGAAAAAGGATGAGATGTGCAGGGAAGCAGGCTGGAGTGACTGCTCTGGCCCTCCTGGGGCCAGAATACAGCATAAAACCTGAGCTGTAATCCCCCCTAGCACAAGGTTGTGCTCTCCTCTCTGTTTTTGTCCATTTTTATGGGTTCCGAGGTGTTTTCTCAGATATACAGACTCCACTGTATCGGGTCCAGGAGCAGCTATTTCCCTCACCCTGTGTCCCATCTCCTTCACACAGTGCTGTCCCCCATGCAGGGCCAGTGCTGTGACAAGGAAAAATCACTCCTCAGACCATCCCCAATCCATAATATTATGACACTGAGCTAACGTCATCACCGATTATGTGATGGGCAATACCTGAATTCAGTTGTCATCCAAAGAAGACTTTGGATTGCCCCAAAATTTCCC